CCGCACTGCCGGCCGCGTCTGGCCCACCCGCCCAACATTGCCAGCCACGGCGTAACACCGAAAATAAACGCCGCACGGTGTCTGCAGCCGGCGCGGCGCGGCGCTCGGACCGGGCCGGGCCGGGCCGGCGCACACCGCAGCTCAGGCCAGACGGACGGTCACGTGTAGCGGGACACCGGCTCACGCCAGTCCGATGTCACTTCCCGGCCGATTATCATATCCTCAGATTATTGGTTAACTTTGTTAATTAAAGGCCTTTTTAATTTAAAGGCATCGTTTAATTTTTGCGCTTTGGCTGTGAATCTGCTTTACGTTGTGGTATATTATACCTAAATCGACAAATTATTTTGATTGGTACATGACAATGCCGGCTGGATTGTGGTCACTTGGTAATGATATCGTCTTCCAAGATCAACACTGCTTTCGTCGGAGCACCCAACACGCTAACGTATGTCGGGCGCTGTTTGCCATGCACTTTAGCTGACGTTAACCTTCCGGTCACCTGCGTACGGCTCTCATCGGGCTCTCTGTTTCATGTCAGAAGCAGAAAGAAGATATCGGTGTATCGCTAAATCAACCCGGTTAAAATGCCAACAAAATACAGCAATGTATTAATATTTTCTTATCCGCTCAATAAGAAGGAAGTGGGATTGGGTAACTAGTAAAAAAATGTATCTCATCACGTATCTATATTTAGTTGACAGCAGGAAATGTTATATTTTAACCCTCGCTGGTTTTTCGCGAATAACTCGCGTAAAAAGCGGCCGATCGCGACGAAACTTTCAGTACCCTCACATTGATCAATTTTACACCTACCCTGAAAATTTCATGACCCTGACCCAAATGACCTTTGACCTGTGACCTCTTTTCCGAGACCATGTTTGGCCGGAATCGCGATTCTGCGTATGTCGGCTCGCATTAGCCGCGCGTTTGCAAGCTTTTCGTGGTTTCAAACGTTCAAACATGTGATTTGATGTTGCTTCCATGCATTAGGGTGGGTGTCAAGGTCACCTGAAGGTCAGGTCAGGTCATTGACCTTTTGGTGACCTCGGGTGACCTCGGTTCACTTTTTCGAGCTGTACATGTTTCTAGGCTAGTTTTTGGAGCTGAATTCGAATTTAGCAACCATTTGAACATTTACGAAGTAGTTTTGGTGCCTTATCAACATGTTACGAAGCTGTCAGAGGCGGTTGACACGTACTACGAATACCCGTCACGATGCCTACTGGTTGACCTGACCTGACCTGACCCGACCTGGTCTAAATGCTTAAAGACATCATCTGTGATCAAAACTAACACGATATTCGTGATCAGCACCCCGAAAACCCCTTAGCAGCCACACTTTACGACTTTCTAACAGGACCCGATTTTCCCGACTTTGGGTCATTGACCTGACCTGGAAGGTCACCCAATGACCTAGGACCTTAAAATTGGGTATCATCGGCTTCCTCTCGTCACGGGCAACACGCTCGTTTTTTCCGCGAAGCTCTAGCTCGATCAGGGGCCAAACGGCAAGGGGGGGCGGGGGGGTCCAACCGACCCCCCCCCACACATTAGAAGCTGGCAAACGCCGCACACATGCGAGGGTTAATATAGGCGGTCTTACGTCGGCCCCCACAGTTGCTCTCCCGGTGTGAACTGAGATGCGGCCAAATGTTGGTTGGTGCGCTCCCGGTGTGAACTGATATGCGGCCAAATGTTGGTTGGTGCGCTCCCGGTGTGAACTGAGATGCGGCCAAATGTTGGCCAGCCGAGATGGTGGTGCTTTATCTACGGCTTCTCTATGGGTCGCAATGACAATCTTTGTTTTATAATGCTGTAATGTGGTCACCAGAGATGACGGCATCCATTAAAATGCATCAAGTCTCAAATGAACTTCTAGCTTAGCAAACGGATCTGGGCCTTTTTACATGCATACAACAGCCGCTTCTTGCACCGCAACGTTCAACGGCTAAAAAAATGTTGAGATAAAGGTACCTACTGCCTCCCCTGGGCCCTGGTCACATATTGTTGATGTATACGAGTACATATAAAAAACAGTGTAAGCATAGTACCTACAGACAATGTATAGTACGGACAAGCATATAGGTAGAACAGAGCAAGCAGTCTACGAAAATATCAAAAGGCAACTACATAAAGTTAGGTACATCAACTAAGTTTCATTAACTTTATGAATTTTTCTGCTTAACCTTATGTAATTATCTTTTAATATATTCGTAGACTACTTGCCAGAGGTGGGCATCGCTACCGAAATTCGGAAACCGCTACCGCTACCTTCCGCAACCTGAGGTACCCAAAGCGCAATCGCAACTCCGTAACTATTTTGCAGATTGTAAAACCGCAACTCGCAACTCCGCAACTCCGCAACTCCGCTACCCACCTCTATTAGGTTCCCATGTTATCAGTTTTAGTCCTGAAGTGAAGTGTTATATCTCACAGCTTGTACCTACCTTTGGTCGACCTCTGTTGGTGACCTGACTGTTGGTGACTGATGACGCCACGTGACCTATAATGCTCAATGCGCAGGTCATTGCGACACCAGTCGACTTAAATGACCTGCCAGCGTTACTTCATGCATGTTTTAGTTGTTTGGGATCATTTTGACGCAAATCCCGACGAGTTGTAGGTATTTTCTCTATTTGACTTATAATAGGGAGGTCTTCAGTTGACATGACCCTAGGTCACAAATATAAAAAAATATGAGACATACACCTTGTATATCTTGTTACCCTTGTCACATGCAGACAGTTTCAAAGTGATTGGTCAATGGGTGTAGCTAGGGCGCGTGTTTGATTTTTTTTTCGCAGATTGGGTCACTTGACTTGACCTGGTGACCTGACCTGAGGCGACCTGGGTCTGACATGTTGATGCAATGTGTGGAAAGGATGCAATAATAGCTGTGCCAAAAACAGCTGCGCTGCGCGCCGCCTTTTTTATATATCTGCGGAAAACCTTACGGAGGGGTGTCCAAAGACCCCTCACCCCGGCCCGTGCTGGCGACCATAAAATTTGACTTAACACTCGCCTGTGTGCGGTGTTTTACAGCGTCTAACGTGCGTGTGTGTGTGTGTGGAGGGGGGTCGGTTGGACCCCTCCCCTGCCGTTCGGCACCTGATCGAGCTAGAGCTTCGCGGAAAAGACGAGCGTGTTGCCCGTGACGATAGGAAGCCGATGATACCCAATTATAAGGTCCTAGGTCATTGATTGAACTTTCAGGCCAGGTCAATGACCCAAAAGTCGGGAAAATCGGGACCTGCTAGATCTTCGTAAAGTGAAACTGTTATGGTTTTGTTTTCGGGGCGCTGACCATGAATTTCATGTTTGTTTTTATCGCAGATAATGTCTTCACGCATTTAGGCCAGATCGGGTCAGGTCGGGTCAACCAGTAGGCGTCCTACCGCCTATCCATAGTACCTAGGTGTCAACCAATAACCACTACTGAAAGCCTCGTAACATGTTACGAAGGCACTAAAACTATTTTGTTAATGCTCAAATGGTTGCTAAATTCGAAATCAGCTAAAAAAAAAAAAAAACTAGGCTAGAAACATGTGCAGTGCAGTGCAAAGGGTGCAGTGGCGCCACCGCCAGGCGCCGGCGCGGCGGTGGCGGCCCCGGTAGCGGTTGCGCTTTATAATTTTTCGCCTCCGCAACTCGCAACTCCGCAACTTTTTTGGGCACGGTAGCCGATCCGTAACTCGGCTACCAAGAGGGTAGTCCGCAAGTTGCGGAGTTGCGGAGTTGCGGACCTAAGTTGCGCAATGCCCAGCTCTGCTACTTGCTCTGTACTATCTTGGTTCATATTTAGCCCATGGGCTCGGGTAACGATTTAACATAGCAAAATGAAATCACGCTACCACCGGCGCCCTGAGCGATACAGATGCAAGCCAGTGACCTTCCTTTAAGTGTCTGCACTGTTGGCCAATGATATCAGTTAACCTGTCGTTATATAATGAATAGAATAATGACTCACTCGTCGAGGCATCTGCACGCTTCTTCGCAATAATGCTGTTTGTTGTGCACGTTGGTTTTGAGTTTTGACGCCCGCCTGGGTGTGCGTCATGGTGGGTTGGACTATTCGCGGTGTGTCAGTTTTGACACCTGACATGTGTGTCATGGGCTCGTGCCGCGCGGATGTTCGGAATGTGTGTCCGCATCTGAATGGTCCTCATGGCGATCCCAGGTCAGCGCCGGGGCTGGTGTCGTCATATTTATGTCATCCGACGGTGGACAGCTCAGTTAAGCATGTTTGGCACCGGTAGAACTTGTCAAGATATATCGATTCTTTTAGATGATTTAGTTTGTTTTATTCTCACTGCCCATCTCACGTTCAAATCAGTGTTGTATGATAGCCTGTTTACAAGTGGGAATGCAGCTCTCCAATTCGTCGGGTGAAGTAGAGCGCGGCTGACTAGATGCTACTGTTAGACCTCCGTGGCTGTTAGAATTTCGTCCAAACACACATGTCCATTGTGGAAGGCTCTGCATCACTACAGCTTAACCCCGCCCGTATATCGGCTGTCAGATATGATAGCGCTGTCTACTGTCCACTGTCCAATGCTCTACATGTGTCTCTGTGGCTGTCAAACGTGACTGTAATGGCTGAGAGCTGGCTGCTGGATTCTGACAATCGTGCGCGCTGTATGGGCTGCCGTCCGTATGCGCCGGTCGGAGTCCGTCCGTCTGGTATGGCTGCGCTGGCTGACCGTGCGTGTGTCTGTGTGCTACTGTCCGTACGTCCGTGTGTCGGGCGGGGCCAGCCGTCGGGTAGAGGCCGGCTATGAGACGTGACTGAGCTAGCTGACAGCGTGTGTGTCTGTGTGCCGCAGGAGGGGCGGCTGCCATCCGTATGTCGGGCGGGGATCAGCTGTTGGATGTGACTGTGCTGACTGATTATGTGTGTCTGTGTGCCGCAGGAGGGGCGGCTGCCGTCCGTATGTCGGGCGGGGTCCAGTTGTCTGATGTGACTGCTAGCTGACAGCGTGTGTGTCTGTGTGCTGCAGGAGGGGCGGCTGCCGTCCGTATGTCGGGCGGGCGCCGGCGCCGCCCCGTGCCGACGTCCCCGGAGCCGCGCCGCCCGGCCGGCCGCCGCCGGCGGCGACCCAGCTAATATGTCGACCGATGGCGGGCCAGCTGTAGCATGGCACTCCGCAGGCGGGCGCGCCGCCGCGACAAAACCTCCGGCGAAAAGTTCAAAGACTGCTGCCGCGGCTTTGTGGCATTCGTCTTTAGCAACGTGGGCATCATCGCGCTGTTCCTGGGCTACGCCATCATAGGGGCCATAGTGTTCAACAAAATCGAGGGCGAGAGCGAGCGCGAGAAAAAGGACGACGTGGTGGAACTGCGCCGGAACACGGTGCGCGAACTGTGGGAGATCACCTACACGTTCAACGTCATGTTCGAGGGCAACTGGACCGAGATGGTGGACGAGAAGATCCTGCAGTTTCAGAACAGTATCGTGAAGGCCGTGGGGGAGGGATATGACGGACGCGCCGAGGTGGCCTCCCAGTGGACCTTCTCGGGAGGCTTCCTCTACTCGCTGACCGTGATGACCACAATCGGTGAGTACCTACTCCACGGCTGGTCGCTGCTAGTTGGTGACTGCTAGTCGGCCTAATGAAGGTTTTGCCTTGTATGTGTATGAACCCCTCGGCCCTCCTGTCCCCTGAAAATGCGTTTTTTAGGCCATGTTGTAGTGATGCAGCGCTTACGTAAGTCTGATGACCATGACCTTTCAAAATCTTTCAGTTCATTGAATGGTTTCTTTTTTCACTTCCCTATGATGAAGATCAATTACCGCTTGTCCTTTTGGTCAACATTACATTGAGCGGATCCTTCGAATTTACCGAAAATAAAAAGTTTGAATGGAGACGACGCCGACAATGATGTACCTCTATCGGTAATGGTACTTTGCTCGGATAGGTGTTTCTTTTCTGAGTGAAGACATGCTGGAGTTTTATAACACACATATTATCCTCATGCTATCATTAAAACTTGAATATTATGTCATCTTCCGGATCGACTAACATCTCCATTGTTGTCCAACCGCTCGCTCCCACGGCGCGAGGAACAACTCGGACACTTCAGTACGGTGTCGAGCTCAGCCACCGCCGGGCAGGGTTTTTCTCGGAGCTCTTAGCCGGCAGAGTGGGTCAGGACGGCCCTGAGGGCTGGCCGGGCCGAGTTGGCGGCACGGTGCGCCCCTCCTGACGTCACGAGGTCGGCTCAGCTGACTGCTGCTGGTCGCCAGCTGAGCCGGCCGGTCGGCGTGCTGACTTCCGCCCGCCGCCGGTGCCGGGGCCGCGCGGACGGCCGGGTGGCGGCGAGGTGCGCCGAGTGCGTGCGACAGCCGCCAGGCCGCATCCGAGGAGGCTGCGGCGGCGGCTGTCCCCGCCCACCGGCGCCGCCGCCGCCCACCGCCCCCACAGTAAGACGCGGCCGTGCATCATCCATTAGTTATGTTGGCAGGGTCGATGGCAGGTCGAGGGCTGTAGACCCCGCCGGCCGCGCCTCGCCGGCAACACAGCACATAAAACACGGTATTCTGGGCACCAGCAGGCATGCAGCTCGTCAGGGGTTCTTTCAGAGGGAAGGAGACGCCAGGAGTGGCGAACGGAAGGGGAGGACGGCGCCGTCCCGCTCCCCGGCGCCGACCCGTCCACCGGGCCGCACCGACCGCCCTGGGCTGAACCATCCGCGCGGAGAGCTCTATAGGCAGCGGCTACAAAACGACTGGGATGCCAACCAAAACACAGATATTCCGTGCCATTCATTTTTTCTTTAACAAGGGTTTTGTTTTTTGTGTCTTTCTCGTGAGGTAATGATGAGTAACAAGTTGCGAGGTGCCGACATGTCAGGTGTCCTTTGCATGGAACCGGGGTTGGATGCCAGCGGCCACGGGCTCATGAACTCAAAGACATTAACAACAACAATTCAAATCACATAGGTATGGCCAACGGATCTGTCCTTTGCCGATATACCTACCCCAAAATTAATGTTAGATCCTAAGCTAACCGTTTACTTTTGGTGCCGACCGCCACTCTTTCGATAGCCCGGAATGAGTTGCTTGGGTAACATGTGCCAGTGATGTGGCGTAGGTGTTGAAACGGCGGTTGGTTTGTATATTTATGCCATTCTAAAATGCGTCTGCTTGTGATATTGAGCGTTTGGTGATGTGATCTGGCGGAATACCCAGAACTCCAGCCGGGGCCGGATACGAGTGTGTGCAAATAACCGAACGCAAACTTAGTATAACCGATCAACAATCGCGGGTTTCTCCACGACCTAACTGTCTACAAAAATGTTTATAGTAAAAAGTTATATTTAGGTATGCTTCTATTGTTTCTGTTTTACTCGAACAGATATTTGTGCAACTGTTGTACGTTAATGGGCCCCTGGGCTCGCATTATATTGTTTGACGTCATTTTTTACTACGAATCAGAGGGCAGTCGGACCGACCGCCCACTCCACCGGCACTTGGTAGCCAAAACTGCCTGGCCGTCTCCCCTTATCCTGCTGACGCTAGTCAAGTCCCAGCTTGATGAAATAGACTACATCAGTGGATAATAATTTAACTAACATAATGCTGTTAAAATATTTGCTGCTGCATTTTCTTTGATGTTGCGCCAAGCACTATGCACACTTGACAGATACGTCCCTCGTGAAGTACGTACGAACCGTAAGGGTCCAAGGTCCCCACAATTGAGACGGTATTCTAAGCACTGTGCTAGAAATGCGGTGACACATGAACTCATGAGTCCTAGCAGGCCTGAATTCTTTCCCAAGAACGTGTCTCATAACACACCGCACTGTACAGCGCTTTGCGGGGATATTATCTTCATTCGTCTTAGCAACTGGTTTATGCACGGCTAGGCTGCCTTGTTCCCTGATTTCAGTAACGAAAGGATAGGATATATCATGGATATCCCAACATAACAGCGCGATGTCGTCTCAAGCCGAGGGATAACCGGTGTTTGCAGGATTTATTGGCATTTATTGGACATCGTTTTAGGTTAGAATGACACACTGAAAGGGATGCGGCTCAAACTAATGATAACACTTAATTCAATTAATGTTCATTAAATATCGAATGCATTTACACTACAAATTACCAGTAAAACGCCTTTTGGGCGAAGAACGAGCGAGCGTGATAGTGAGCCCTGCACGTGCGGAAGGGCGAGAGGGTGCTTCCAACGGGCTTGTGCAAAGCACCCTTCTAACCGGTCGCTAGCGGTGTGCCAAATTTGAACGCAATCGGCCCAGCCGTTCCTGAGATCTGGAAGCGGCATTCTGCACGTGCGCACGTGCAAACGGGGTCCAAAATGACTTTTGCACGGCACCCTACTAACTGGTCCCCAACCGTGTGCCAAATTTGAGCGCAATCGGCCCAGCCGTTCTCGAGATCTGGAAACGCCCCCTGCACGTGCGCACGTGCAGTAGCACCCTAACCGCAACACATGGGAATGCATTGCCTGGTGGGTGCCTACCTGTATGCCAAGTTTCAGCGAAATCGCCCCAGTAATTACCGAGCTACTGAAATGGGAACAAATTTGGCACCTCTTATTGTTGTATTTTGCACGTGCACTGGGGGTGACCCACATACATCGAGAGTATCCTATTTTGGGTAGAAGAGATGCTGCTACTCTACAAAAATTACCGCAAGTCAATCGCCCAAGCGGCTGCTGAGATATGAGCCTCTCAAAATCACTACTTTTGCAAAACAGCTTGAACACCCTTGACTTTTCACGTGGCACGTGCCACGACGGTCACTGAGATGTATCAAAAGTAGTCAATTACGGGGTAGAAGGGATGGGGCTACCCAACAAAAAAGACCGCAGGCCAATCGGTCCAGCGGTTGCTGAGATATAAGCCTCTCAAAAGCGTTACAGGCCGGGCCGGGCCGGGCCGGGCCGGGCCGGGCCGGGCCGGGCCGGGCCGGGCCGGGCCGCTCATACTGAGATTTTTCCGTTATATTGAAAAGACTCACTTCGCTCGCTACGCTCGCTCGCTCGTAATTATGTGATTCTTTAAATTTGCTGGCTCGATTCTCCTAATTGAACTGAGCAATAGAAGTAGGCTCCATAGAAGGCGATTATGAATGCGTGCTATTTGCGTGGTGGACAACGGACATTCGAGTTTGACGTCTCAGTACTGCAGCTAGAGGAACAAGTAACCATAGATGGCAGAGACAGACGGATTTCTATTAAGTATCAGCAGCGAGCCATGCGTTGCACATTTACATCTCTCTTGTATTGTAGGAAGGCCCGTCAGGTTTAGGTAGGTATTTAGCAGAGAATGATGAAGTTTATGTTATATGTAGCGGGCAATAACGTAGTCTCTTACATCACAGAAGCTCACAATTTTAACATGATCACAGATTTACAGCTTAGCTATATACGTGCATTGATGAATAGGTACTTACAAAACTATAGGAGAAATATTTTAAACACTGACCGGCATGACGGCGAACTGCCTCGGGTAGCCGTTTCGCCGTTAGCAGACTGGTAGGTATACTGTGCCGCAACGCCTGGAGATGGGCGGCACAGCATGCTTCCAGGCGCGTGCCACTGCTGCCATCTATGGGCAGTAGCTAGAGTATTGAGCGCGAATGGCGGAAGGGCGGTGCGCAGCGAAGTTTTCGCTATAGTCAATGTTTAATGCATGAGAATTAAATGTGCCTGTACTTAATGAATGTATCAAAAATGCCGAATACACTCGAATTTTTGCTCATTTTGCAGAAAAATTACCTGTAACGATGAAAACATTGGCACTGCTGGTTTCATTTCCTCGGGCTGCATTTGCACCGTGCTCTGACATGAGCAACACAATCCGCTGGTCTTCCTTTAGCTTGGTATCTTCGGATCACTTATGTTACTAAAATTGTCATATATTGTGACTTTGGTTGGTCCTGTCAAATTTTAAACTCCGCTCCCCGTAGGTTACCTATAATTTAAACTTTAAGCTGAAACGGTGGGATGCTCTACCATTTTTGGGCGCGTCGGGGCTCGTAGTTTCGTCGTCATACTGCTACGACGCCGATTCATCTGTTCTTTGACGGATTGCCTCTTTCTGACCCTGATCCCTTCTTCCATTTTCCGCAGGTTACGGCAACATCGCGCCTCGCACCAGCATGGGCAAGATCGTCACCATTTTCTACACGTGCATCGGGTTCCCGCTGTTCCTGCTCTACCTGTCCAACATTGGCAGCGTGCTGGCGCAGAGCTTTAAGTGGCTGTACGCCAAGCTGTGCAAGTGTCGGCCGGCGCGGATAGAGGTGCTGGGGCCGCCGGTGCCGGAGCCCGAGCCGCGGGACGAGGACGAGGAGGCGCCGCGATGGCCCGACGAGCTCGGCTCGTACCGCAGCCAGCCGGCGGCGGCCAGCTCCGAGGAGGCCTCCTCGAGCGGCTCGAGCAGCTCCTCCGAGCTGGACCTCAGCACCGTCACCGTGCCCATCTCCATGTGTCTCATCATCATGGCAGTGTACATTTGCGGCGGCGCCATGTTCTTCGCGCGGCTGGAGGAGAACTGGGACTTCCTCACCAGCTGCTACTTCTGCTTCATCAGTCTGAGTACGATCGGGTTCGGCGACTACGTGCCCGGCGACTCGATCCGCTCCGAGACCGGCAGTGTCGAGACCGGCTTCGTGCTCACCTCCATGTACCTGATGCTCGGCATGGCCATCATTGCCATGTGCTTCAATCTGATGCAGGAGGAAGTGATACAGAAGGTACGCTCGTGCGCGCGCTGTCTCGGCTGTTTGCGTGGCCAGGGCTGAGTGTCGTGTGCGCCAGTGCAGAGGGTGTGGTCGGGTGGCCGAGACAGGGGACGATGAACGGTGATCGGTGAGCGGTGGAAGGTTAACGCCACGGCGAGCGGTGAACGTTCCTCTCTAGAGAGAGAGAGAGAGCCGACCTCTGGACAGGAGAGCGACGGACCAGAGCCGATTCGGCGGTAGCGGGCCGGAACCAGAGTGCGCCTCACAGCTCCCGACTATCGCCACCAATGACCGTGATACCGACGTCCGTCAGATGTCCACCGCCGGATGCCCATGGTATGACGAGTCCCGGGCCCGGATACCGAGCTTCCCAGACTCACCAAACGCTCGCCAGAACTCGGATGGAGCCACCCCGGCCGCGGGTCTGTATGTGTGTGTGCTGCGCGCGCGTGTGTGTGACATACTTGGCCAGCGCGGTCGCTGAGACTCACTCATCTCTGGTACCTCTCGCGTCACGGCACATTTTTTATCCGCGCCACTGACGCCGTCTACAGATGGTGAATGACCTATCCGGGTCGTTGACAATGATTTGTTAGCTCTAGCGTCGCGTGTCTACTCTTGGCCCCGTAGCAATGCTCGAACCGTCCATGATTTTTTCCGGCTCTCATTTTAGACGTACCCACCACCCGTGCAACGTCCCCGGTTGTGATAGCTATCCATTAGACGAGCCGCAACCGATTTGTATGAGCCAAATATACGCCCTTACACGATGGAGCGTGGCCCGTTCAGATCGCTCTGCTGTCCCGCCGCTCTTTGTCAGATCTTGGGGAGGCACTGAGCTGTGAACGGGGCTGGCATCGAGAGCGATGGAATCCGGGAGGTACTGATTACTGAAGTACTACCCCATTGGGGACCTGCTGTGAGACAGTGAGCCCCTGGGGACCACCTGAACTTAGGAATCAACGGGAACCCTCGATTCATCTTTCTAATGTAGGACCCTCTGAAACATACAGTCCATTAGGGTCATCGTATATTATTTGACCCCGAGGGTCAGCGAGGCCATTAAGGTCGGTGGGGTGGCGGTCGGCGCGGCTCAAACGGGCGGCCGGGTCGGCCCGTCTGACCCGGCACGCGCTCTAATTGGCTCGGCAGCGGGCGGCGCGGCCAACCGTTGGCGGCCGGCGGCCCGTTCATCAGTCAGTGGCCGTCCATCTTCCAGCGGCCGCGGCGCCGCTGCCAGCCGCCGCCACACGCGGTCCCCTCCCAGGCATGCGCGACCGGCGACACTCGGTGACGGCACCTGACGGCACCTGACGGCACCGGGGCAACGGGCAGAAGCACCAGACGGCACTGAGAGGTACCCGAGGCACCAGCGGCACCAGAAACACACACAAGGCACCTGGGACGACACCAGGGATACTGAATGGAACATGAGACACCCAGAGGCACCACCCGGGACACCCAGCGGCACCCGCGACGCCCAATACGTACCCAGTACACATAGCGGCACCCCGGACACCCAGCGACACTGGGGACACCAAGCGGCGCCTGAAGCATCCAGCGGCACCTGGGACCCGGCAGAGGTGCCTGAGAGACCGGTGGCGTTTGGACTCACCCGGCGGGACCGCTCAGGTCCTGCCAGCGACAGATGGGCTCGCAGCCCTCCAATGATATCGCGCCCCGGGTGACACCAGTCAGTGGTTGGTCAATGGTCATCTCCGGTAGTCTTTGAAATGTACTGTCTGCTGTCTCAGTTCGTCTGAGGTTACCCATTACTATTCAGCATCAAAATGAGCGCACAGGACAAACAAATAAAAATGTCCCACGAAATGAACATCTAACGTGGTGCTTCTCCCGATTTCTTAGAAGCGAGATCCTATTCCTATCCTTTGTGACTTATCATATGAGATCCTATGCTGCTTGGGTAACGATAGGCTAAGACGACCTTGTCACTAATCTCGTCCTTGTACTCATCTTTCTCCCGGCTACAGTGCAGCGGCGACTGTCATTGTTTTATTTGGACAGAATCAGCGGCACTACAATGTCAGCCGCGGTTCCAATGGTCGCTGACGTTGAAAAACCGCGCTGCCCTCTGGTATCAAAGCGGACATTTGTTTCGGTAAATGTCCTGTCAGCCTTACCCCGCCAATCAGATAAGGCGGTGACATTTGGTGTTGAGGAAGCCCCGGCTCAGTCATCGTCCAAGTTAACTTGGCAAAACAGGTCCGGCATGCTGAACGTGGTATCAAACATGACCCCGAGCGGTCCAACACTGTTTTAGAACTGTGGCTGCCTACTGGTTCGATTTAGTGAAACTCCACGGTGACAGGAAGCCCGGTGTACCCCTCGGGTCGACACCCTCCCCTTTCCACCCACCCACCGACCCCATCTCCGCCAAACGCCGGTTTGTTCCAATCGTGTATACAGAATATAGATATATGTGCGGCGTGCGTCCACCTGGCCGCTCAGTGGCAACAACCGTAACACGTCCGTATACAACAGCACACACGGCGTTCGCAATGCACCTCACAACCGGCCTCTGCCGCTGACCATACCCGTGGCGTCCGTCCTGGGCTGACAAGTGGCCGCTGACCGTGCTGGGCTGGCCAGTGACCGCTGACCGTACCCGTGGCATACGCCGACCGTCCTGGGCCGACCAGTGGCCGCTGACCGCGCCGGTCACGGTAGTGATGACCTCTGGTCCGAAGGATGACCGCTGACCGTCTCCACGACGACGACGAGATAGTGGCAGACGTGAACGAACAGACAACAATACTTATTCCATAACTGCTGAGTTTAAAACACATGCAACAAAAACAATGATCAAGAAGTAGACATTCACAAAATGTATCGGAGTTGGTCCGACAGATTCGTGAATCAGGTACTTCCTTGCTGTTATGAGTTGCATGCATAAAAATCGCTCAATTATGAAACATGCTTTCGTTGAATCGGTTCACATCTGCATCACACAAGTCCGCCTCGACCAGAGACGCTCCACAGTCCAACGTTATTAACATGGCCCTGATGTAACTGTGGTCCTGGGGAAACACGACCATGACCAGCGCCTCTGGCATAGCCGGATCTCTCCGGGCAAATCCGGCTTGCCCCGGACACAGTCGGAACGTTCCGGACACAGCCGGACTGCTCCGGTAACAGCCAGGGCGGTCCGGCCCAGGTCAGATCGCTCCCCACTCGGCGCAGTGTAGGCCCGATCTCCCGCTCCGCAGCCCGTCCCGAGCAGCGCGCACCGCGGGCCGAGACAACGGTCAGTGTGGCTCCACAGCCCGGCCCCGCAGAGACGCGCACCATCTGCACGCCTCCGGAGTCAGCGGAGAGCGCGGCGGGTCAGCAGCGCTCCGGCGCGCACCCGCAAAGATATTCCCCATCACAGTGCAACAGCGTATCGCCTCATTACTCGTCGCTCTCAAGCTGCTTACGGCGCCGCGGACCAGACAGCTTAACGACTAACGTAAGAATATATCCGAACATATCGAATGTACTCGCCTAAAGTCGCATGCATCTTCACTATTTTTTAAGTTCAATGTTCAAGTACATTGCTCACGACGAGCTAAATGAAAACTGAAATACAAAGAAACCTACCGAACAGAATGGCTGTCCAAATCCGCTGAGATAATCATCGCTACATCTAGTGGCGGCGACAGAACTCTTAGTACAGTAAACGGTCGCCAGGGTAAACAACCTTCAGCCCGTTTGCGATCACAGTTGGCAGCTTGCCACACGCGAGGGCAGCGGCACCGATAAAACGAGGGAGGGGGTCCACGGCTATCTGACAGCGAGCAGACACCACAAGTAACAACACAGTCTTAAATAGACACCAGCAAGCGACGTCGGGCGGGGAAGAGCCACTGAATGATCGGGAAACTCCGACATGAACACATTGGAGACGCAGGTGCCGGACTAAAACGGAAACAACAAGTCTCCTTTCTTCCGCGTGGCTGCGGTACGTACTCTCTCTCACCTCTAAAAACAAACACCCACCGCACAACGAACTAAAAACGCAAATGGGATACGTGATGATCTAAGATGGAAACACAAAGCACATGATATTGGCTGCAACAAGAAGTCCGTAGTACGACGTTCACAGACAGTTTACAACAGTACAATTGACGACAGCGTTACGCTAATGACCATCGCCGGCAGCGCGACTGCCGCCGCCGCGCGGACCCTCGCCCGCGACACATCACAGGTAAGCACACTGTGGGTAAACGATTGGGGAGCCGCCGCGCCCCCGACCCGCCACCGTCGTGCCTCCGGCCGTGACAGACAGCGCGCCCGAGTCGCGAGTCGCGGACTCCGAGCCGTGACTCGGTGCCGGCCCGACTGGGCGCCCTTAGCCGGGCTCGGCGTGCGGGGGGAACGAGTCGGTACTGATGGAGCGGCCTGTCTCGTAGCTGATCAGCACGTGTTTGACGTACTCCTGCAGGTCTCCGGCCACGCTGACCTCTGTCGGAGGGACGGGAACGTCAGCGACAGCGACAGCGACCGCGCCGGGCGCCGCACTGGTCGACCGACAGTGGTGCCCTCTACACAGAGTCGCAACTCCTAGACAATGAGGGGAGCCTTCCTCTAGATCCAGCCTGTCATCAAGTGATTGTTCAAAAGCTAGTACACCAATTTGGTACATTAACGTCACCTGTTTTTAAGGAAGTCTGTCTGAGTCGCACACATTTAATGTATAAGCTTTAACCGAAACATAACGAAATGGAAAACTCTCAATTATCGGAACAGAGTGAATGACTTAGAAGCACGTGTTGATCTGCATATAATCACTATTTGTTGTTAGTTTGGTAAAAGATTGTTCAAACACCAGCTCTAAGTTTTATTGGGAGCTTTCGGAAGCGTTACAGCTTCCTTCGTCAGCCTTGGATAGAATTCTTAAAAACTGACAGATGTACACGTAAGTACAAAACAATTAAAAAAAAAACGAATGGTTTTTCAAATGTTTTTTTTTATTTTTGATTTGGTTTTTCAAATGTTTTTTTGATTTTTGAATTGTTTTGTACTTACGTGTTTATCTGTCTTTTTAAGAATTCTATCCAAGGCTGACGAAGGAAGCTGTAACGCTTCCGAAAGCTCCCAATAAAAACTTAAAGCTGGTGTTTGAACAATCTTTTACCAAATGACTCCGTCCCAGCTCAACAACATATATAATCTTGTTGTTAGTTTATAAAGAGAAAGTGACACGTGATACTTTTCCCATTTGGATGTCAACAAAGTTGTGCCAAGAGCTTGCAATTGGTCGTCTAGGGATTCTACACTCACTGGATGCTTGTCTGCAGACTTTGTCAATCATGTGGCTGGCGTCCTCGGGTCGAACTTGGGACACCCCTGGCAGAACTCTGGCTCGAAGGAGGTGGCCGACCTCCCTCAGAGCGTTACTTAGACGCCCTGAACACAGACAGAACACAGTAGTGTCAGATAGACTGAAAAACAATACATTCAACTGTGGACGGCCTGTCCAATTCGGTCGATGACGGAAAAATATCGGGAGCTGAGAGAAAAGAGACGGAAGATCGAGATGTAGATGGAACTACCGAGGCAAAGGTAGAACAATCGATAAGGTGAGAGAGACTCTGA